TTCTCTGGTCTGATGAAACCAAGATTGAAGTCTTTGGCCTGAATGCCAAGCGTCACGTCGGGAGGAGACCTGGCACCATCCCTACAATGAAGCATGGTGGTGGCAGCATCATGCTGTGGGGATGTATTTCAGCGGCAGGGACTGGGAGACTAGTCAGGATCGAGGAAAAGATGAACGGATGAAAACCTGCTCCAGAGCGCTCAGCACCTCAGACTGGGGTGAAGGTTCACCTTCCAACAGGACAACGCCCTAAACACACAGCCAAGACAACGCAGTAGTGGCTTCAGGACAAGTCTCTGAATGTCCTTGAGTGGCCCAGCCAGAGCCCGGACTTGAACCTGATCAAACATCTCTGGAGAGACCTGAAAATAGCTGTGCAGCGACGTTCCCCATCCAACCTGACAGAGCTTGAATGGATCTGCAGAGAAGAATGGGAGAAACTCCCCAAATACAGGTGTGCCAAGCTTGTGGCGTCATACCCAAGATGACTCAAGGCTGTAATCACTGCCAAAGGTGCTTCAACAAAGTACTGAGTAAAGGGTTTGAATACTTATGTAAAGGTGGCGTACACATCACTGACAAACTGAAATGGTCCACCCACGCAGACAGTGTGGTGAAGAAGGCGCAACAGAGCCTCTTCAACCTCAGGAGGCTGAAGAAATTTGGCTTGGCACCTAAAACCCTCACAAACTTTTACAGGTGCACAATTGAGAGCATCCTGTCGGGCAGTATCACTGCCTGGAACGGCAACTGCACTGCCCGCAACTGCAGGGCTCTCCAGAGGGTGGTGCGGTCTGCCGAACGCATTACCGGGGGCAAACTACCCGCCCTCCAAGACACCTACAGCACCCGATGTAACAGGAAGGACAAAAAGATCATCAAGGACATCAACCACCCGAGCCACTGCCTGTTCACCCCACTATCATCCAGAAGGCGAGGTCAGTACAGGTGCATCAAAGCTGGGACCGAGAGAATGAAAAACAGCTTCTATCTCAAGGCCAACAGACTGTTAAATAGCCATCACTAGCACACTAGAGGCTGCTGCTGCCAATTGAAATCACTGGCCACTTTAAGAAATGGAACACTAGTCACTTTAATAATGTTTATATATCTTGCACTACTCATCTCATATGTATATACTGTATTCTATTCTATAATATTCTACTGTATCTTAGTCCATGCCGCTCTGTCATTGCTTGTCCATATATGTATATATTTTTTAATTCCATTCCTTACTAGATTTGTGTGTATTTGGGTATATGTTGTGAAATTGTTAGATATTACTTGTTAGATATTACTGCACTGTCGGAGCTAGAAGCACAAGCATTTCGCTACACCAGCAATACCATCTGCTAAACACGTGTATGTGATAAATAACATTTGATTTGAAATATTTCCATAGCCTTCCTCTGGACCGCCTCCATCTCTCCATCCAGATCCACCAGTACATCTTGAAAAGAGGGGTCTTCCCTTGACCTAACTAATGCCTTAGCACTCTCCTGAAGCTGCCTTTCTGTCTCCTCCAGCTGCTTTGAACCCATCAACTTTATAGTCTCTCTTCGACACCAAAACGTCTTTCTGCTCAGAGACGCAGAATGGTAATGGCATGTTCCAGTAGATATATTCTATTCAGGACCTGGCAGGCCAGACAGATCCGCTGTGACTGGCATCCAGAAGTTAAGATCCGTGGATTATTTGCAATGGTCAATGAGTCAGGCAGACAGAAGCAGCTTCCTATGAGTCAGGCAGCCAGAAGGAGCTTCCTATGGTCAACAGTTTCCTGGTCAAAAGTGCTGTGTTATGAGACTTTTGGACAATGGTCTGTTGAGGCAGAAATTGAAGGTGCAATACTGAATTTACATTATCATCAGGGACGTAGTGGTAAAGTGCAAATTTACCCATAATGCAAAGTAACATCCAGCATAATAGGCCTAAACCCTATTCACAAAATAAAAAGGTGGGTAAACTGATTACCATTTGTGAAGATTTTTATTGAAAGGCCCAACAAAACCATGTCTTCTGTCTAATTCTGTTATATTTGGACATAATCATAAACAGTATAGAAAAGTTTTGAATGTAAGTATTAAATAAAATGTTTATCGCGCTTCAGGGCAACATTTACATTTTACATTTAAGTCATTTAGCAGACGCTCTTATCCAAAGCGACTTACAGTTAGTGAGTGCATTCATTTTTCATACAACACAGTGAGATGAGTCACCCAGGCATGCTGATGTACTGGCAGAAAGCTAACACAATGTTTAGGGAACAATTACACAGAAACCTGCTGGTACCTGCTCAGGTAATGGCTTTATCAGATCACAGGGAACTTCCTGGTACTGTAGGTGGCTACTGGCTTTTGTTTTTATAACCTTTTATCTTAATGCAATCTCACTTCACCTGACTTCTCCAAGTGAGATCATTGACTTAAATGTTGTAATTTCGACTGACTGATCTTGAAGACTAAGAAATACTCAATATTCATATGACCTTTATTTCAGTTTATTTATTTACCATGTCTCAGATGCTCACATTTTACGAGTTTAATTGATCATGTCGCTGTTCTGTCAAAATTGGCCTTGCATAAATCAAATGTCCTCCGTCACATTCTTCATCTGTTTCATTTCCTAGTTTTAAATTGAACTAAATCAGAGCCACCTTGCATTATAGTGGTGAATTTTATGAATATCATTGACATGTCATTAGTAGGTTTTCCATCCAATTGGCGACAGATTTTCATGCGAATATTCAAAATCTGCATAAAAACAATGCAAATTTTCCCACCAGAGATGGTTCGATCAAATTGACCTGTTGCGGATAAAAGGCTGTGCATGATGACGTAGTGCACATAAAATATATTTTGTAGTTCAATTATCATGTACCAAATAAAAAATACAAAGTTAAATGGGTTTCCATCGCATTTTCAACTCTACTGATGGTTTTGTCAAAAAAGAATTTGCTTTATATAGCGAATGTGCCCTCTCTGGTCTTTGCACTTTGCGCTCTAGCCAAAAGCTAGCAGATGCAGGTAGGCTAACAATATTAGCTTTTTATGGATAAGAGCAAGATAATTTTTTATTTGTCAAACAGCAGCCAAGCATCGATTCATCATGTCAGCAGAATAAGATCCTCGATATTTATTGGAAAGGAGCATCAAGCTCATCACCTTGCACTTTCACCACCCTGTGAAGTTCATCATAACTTATTTAATCTGTAGCCTAATAAACGGCATGCTTTCCAAAGTCGTAGTGGAAGGACCACACAACATATCGCATGTCTCCAAGCATATGGATGGTTATTATATCAATGTTTACGCATAAAGGGGTTTCCATAGCCATTTCTCGCATAATAAATTTGACCGACAAAATTATCCCACTTTGTCTCGCATATTTTGTTTTGTCAACATTTTTACTTTACATGCATAAAAAGGTTGGATGGAAACCTGGTTGACAAATGTTCAACTTACATTTAGGGTCTGTTTCTCAATGAGCGGAGACAGGGAGAGAACTACTCATTTAAGGGCAATAAATTAAACATCTCAAACAAGCGAGACAATAAAACACTAGATATTTAACTGTCATAAAGTTATTGTTTTAGAACGTCAATTAGCAACTTATACAACACAGATGCACAATGACAAACTCCACACTGTAATTGAGTCAGAAACAATTTCAGTCAATTTAAAATTAAAAAACTTGAATAGGTTCTTATTTAAAAGGAATTGAAAATATTACAATTTTACAATAATGAAGTTGGAATTTTAGTTTACTTTCTGAATTGACTGGCTTCAATGCGAATTGACCTGAACCCTGATGTTGAACTCACACCTCACTCAGTGGTTTGGAATAAACTTAAAAATGTATGTTGTAGTCTATGCTGCCCCCTGCTGGACTCAGTAGTCTGCTTGAGAAGGGGGGGGGGTGTACTGTACAAGTTGTGTACAAGTCATTGGAGTATGGGTGCATCTCAATCTAAAGTGGCATCCTCTTGTTAGGCATTTTCAGATGACTGCATACCAATTAGAGAAGGAATAAATAAATAAAAACATACTTGGCAAAAGACTTCTGTCGTGTGGAAGACTGTATAGTAGTAGACGCCGAGGCAAATGCATCTTCAAAAAATAAGAGCAACAACATTATATTCCTAGTGTTATTCATGGAGTCAACTGTTAAAAGAGGAGCTTATTCCCCCTTTAAAATACACAAAAAAAAATTTGATTGGGCAGCATTACTCTATGTTGAAACGTTTTATTTATCTGTAAAAATGGACAGTAAATCAAGTTGATAGTAACTGTAAACACTAGGCTACTATGAGCTACATAAGTCATATACATGCCTTTAGATGTCTTAAAGAACTAGGATAACTTGCTATTTTCAGGCTGCATGAAACATCAGTACTTCCCATATTTGTACAGTTGCCTTTTTTCATCAGCTGCAGCTCATGCAATTCACTTTAAGTTAATGTTGGAAGTTTAACCCAAAAAATGAAATTGATAAAATAACAATGTTGCTTGTTTAACATTTTTTGTCATTTAAAATTGTATTATGTACTGGGATCCCTATACTGGTAAATTGAGAGAGAAAGAAAAAACTAATCAAAACAAGAACAATGATGTATATGAATATACAATAACAACCGCCCCAAACACATACTCTTTTATAACTACATTGTGAAACGCATTCTGCGATCAACCTTTTAAACCAGTATTAATTTCCTTATGAGAAACAATCATGCTGGTCTTTAGCTGAATAAAAAAATAAAACAGGTAGCGCACAGGTGATATCTTATGAACCAAGTAGCTTTTACTCAATTAAGGTGATCAGAGAAGCTGCTTTTATTTCTCACAAAAAATATGTATCATTTACATTTAAGTCATTTAGCATGTACTTGTGGTAAAATTTAGGAAAACGCGAAGGCCATGTTTTATTTATGCTTATCCAATATTTATCAATCAAAAAGTAGAGAAAAAATATGGATCAAAATTACGATCATTGCTCCCTTTTTAGTCGTCATCAAAGTTCTGTTGTAAAAGGAAGTTAGCGGCCAAGTTCTCATTCTTCTCACAGGCAAAGTAGGCCTGTATAACAAGTCCTTCAGGGAATCCTAGGGCTTTTAGCTGTAAGAGAAAATAGACAAAGTCAATATTAAATTACATAAACAACGTTCCTGAATACAGAGATGACAGGATTGACATACAGTGAGGGAAAAAGCTATTTGATCCCCTGTTGATTTTGTACGTTTGCCCACTGACAAAGAAATGATCAGTCTATAATTTTAATGGTAGGTTTATTTGAACAGTGAGACAGAATAACAACAACAAAATCCAGAATAGCGCATGTCAAAAATGTTATAAATTGATTTGCATTTTAATGAGGGAAATAAGTATTTGACCCCCTCTCAATCAGAAAGATTTCTGGCTCCCAGGTGTCTTTTATACAGGTAACGAGCTGAGATTAGGAGCACACTCTTAAAGGGAGTGCTCCTAATCTCAGCTTGTTACCTGTATAAAAGACACCTGTCCACAGAAGCAATCAATCAATCAGATTCCAAACTCTCCACCATGGCCAAGACCAAAGAGCTCTCCAAGGATGTCATGGACAAGATTGTAGACCTACACAAGGCTGGAATGGGCTACAAGACAATTGCCAAGCAGCTTGGTGAGAAGGTGACAACAGTTAGTGCGATTATTCGCAAATGGAAGAAACACAAAATAACTGTCAATGTCGCTCGGCCTGGGGCTCCATGCAAGATCTCACCTTGTGGAGTTGCAATGATCATGAGAACGGTGAGGAATCAGCCCAGAACTACACGGGAGGATCTTGTCAATGATCTCAAGGCAGCTGGGACCATAGTCGCCAAGAAAACAATTGGTAACACACTACACCGTGAAGGACTGAAATCCTGCAGCGCCCGCAAGGTCCCCCTGCTCAAGAAAGCACATATACAGGGCCGTCTGAAGTTTGCCAATGAACATCTGAATGATTCAGAGGAGAACTGGGTGAAAGTGTTGTGGTCAGATGAGACCAAAATCGAGCTCTTTGGCATCAACTCAACTCGCCGTGTTTGGAGGAGGAGGAGGAATGCTGCCTATGACCCCAAGAAACACCATCCCCACCGTTAAACATGGAGGTGGAAACATTATGCTTTGGGGGTGTTTTTCTGCTAAGGGGGACAGGACAACTTCACCGCATCAAAGGGACGATGGACGGGGCCATGTACCGTCAAGTCTTGAGTGAGAACCTCATTCCCTCAGCCAGGGCATTGAAAATCGGTTGTGGATGGGTATTCCAGCATGACAATGACCCGAAACACACGGCCAAGGCAACAAAGGAGTGGCTCAAGAAGAAGCACATTAAGGTCCTGGAGTGGCCTAGCCAGTCTCCAGACCTTAATCCCATAGAAAATCTGTGGAAGGAGCTGAAGGTTCGAGTTGCCAAATGTCAGCCTCGAAACCTTAATGACTTGGAGAAGATCTGCAAAGAGGAGTGGAACAAAATCCCTCCTGAGCTGTGTGCAAACCTGGTGGCCAACTACAAGAAATGTCTGACCTCTGTGATTGCCAACAAGGGTTTTGCCACCAAGTACTAAGTAATGTTTTGCAGAGGGGTCAAGTACTCATTTCCCTCATTAAAATGCAAATCAATTTATAACATTTTTGACATGCGTTTTTCTGGATTTTTTTGTTGTTATTCTGTCTCTCACTGTTCAAATAAACCTACCATTAAAATTATAGACTGATCATGTCTTTGTCAGTGGGCAAATGTACAAAATCAGCAGGGGATCAAATACTTTTTTCCCTCACTGTATGTCTACTCCCATAAGTAGGTATTTATGCATGTCATAAACATGAATCTTCAGTTGAAAACCATGCAGTCTGAAATCAACACTTCACTTAACCATTTACGCTAGTGAGAATTGGCCTCAATGGGTAGGGCTAAATTGAAATGTTTTTTAAAGAAATATGAAATACATATGCACAAGCATAGTAGCAATTGAAAGGAAATAGTTGAGATTATAGGAAAACTTGACCAAAGTTGAGGACAACAGTTCGCCTGACAAGACTGAATCCAAACATTACACTGTTGATTTTGTGTGCATTTTACATTTACTGTACTTTTCACAGCATTTGTTGATAACGAAATCTGAAAAAACTCTGGATATATTCAGTAACATAAGAATATTCCTGGAAAATGTGGGGTAGGTGCAACATAAGACTAAAAATTACAAGTGTTTGAGTGAGAGGACTAACTGGTGTGGCCATACCTCTCCAAAGTGTGCAAAGTTCTTAAGTAATTTCAATGCACTTTTATGACTTAAAGTAGAGTAACAATTTTTTTAGCTCTCCTAGCTGTGCTGTTGGGGAACTAGAGCAAGCACACTTGTAGTTTTGTTTGGAACACAACCCCACAATTACTGTTGTTTACACAATGCACAGCACATTATAAATCACAATTAGGGTTGAATGGAGGGAACCTGATTACCGAGATTTACCGCCCAAAACCACTCCCTTTTACCGGGATAAATAACTGCGAGAAACCAGTAAATTATAATTAAACAATAAGGCCCGAGGGGGTGTTGTATATGGCCAATATACCATGGCTAAGGGGTATTCAGAGAGCACGACACAACACGGAGTGCCTGGATACAGCCCTTAGCCGTGGTATATTGGCCACATACTACAAACCCGAGATGCCTTATTGCTGTTATAAACTGGTTACCAACGTATTCAGAGCAGTAAAAATACATGTTTTGTCATACCCGTGCTATACAGTCTGATATACCACGGCTATCAGCCGATCAGCATTCAGGGCTCGAACCACCCAGTTCATAATAAATTATTTATATGAACAGCATGGCGTGAAAAGGAACTGTTATATTATATGCGATGTCTAAATCTGGCTTCTCTATGGCCTCTGCATGATGAATCATCAACGTTCAGGGTGGGGACAGACACCCCATCTCAGTATGGAGCGCAGTTCACGATGTTGGACAGGTAGGCTTACATTTGCTGCAGCATAGTCTATGCTACAGTAATATAAAGAACGAATGCGTGTCTAATTTACCCATCTTCTCATGGTCAGAGTCCTTTAGGGGAACAAACTCCAAGCGGGCTGTCATGTGCCTTTTACCTAGGAGTGGCTTCCGTCTGGCCACTACCATAAAGGCCTGACTGGTGGAGTGCTGCAGAGATGGTTGTCCTTCTGGAAGGTTCTCCCATCTCCCAAGAGGAACTCGGTCAGGGAGGTGACAAAGAACCCGATGGTCACTCTGACAAAGGCCTTTCTCCCCAGATTGCTCAGTTTGGCCGGGCAGCCAGCTCTAGGAAGAGTCTTGGTGGTTCCAAACTTCTTCCATTTAAGAATGATGGAGGCCACTGTGTTCTTGGGGACCTTCAATGCGACAGAATTATTTTGGTACCCTTCCCCAGATCTGTGCCTCAACACAATCCTGTCTCGGAGCTCTACGAACAAGTCCTTCGACCTCATGGCTTGGTTTTTGCTCTGCCATGCACTGTCAACTGTGGGACCTTATATAGACAGGTGTGTGCCTTTCCAAATCATGTCCAATCAATTTAATTTACCACAGGTGGACTCCAATCAAGTTGCGGAAACTTCTCAAGGATGATCAATGGAAACAGGATGCACCTGAGCTCAATGTTGAGTCTCATAGCAAAGGGTCTGAATACTTATGTAAATAAGGTATCTGTTTTTTTAGTTGTAATAAATGTGCAACATTTTCTAAAAACCTGTTTTCTCTTTGTCATTATGGGGTATTGTGTGTAAATTGATGAGGAAAACAATTTATTTAATCAATTTTAGAATGAGGCTGTAACGTAACAAAATGTGGAAAAGGGGAAGGGGTCTGAATACTTTCCGAATGCACTGTACATAGTGTATGTGACGTAGTACACCATTTTTGGTGACCACATTTGGCTCGTGAGTGCTACTTTCAGAACTACTGGCTAAAAAGTATACAAAAGTACCAGAGAATCTCTAACTTAACTTTGTTAGATTTATTTGACATGGACAATTAAAAATCGGCATTTCTGTAAATGTGCCAGATTGAGCTAACTAGGTGATTTTCAACTGTAGCCATTATCAACAGTCATCTTGGCTTGTGAGATTCCCTCCTTCCTTACCCTCTCAATGGCCTCCTTCTCCTGGGGTGTGACCTGAATATAGTTCATGCCACTTCCAGCCTCCCCACTGACCCCCACTCCACCTCCTCCTCCACCTCCTCCCTGACCCCCCTCCTGGGCTGGCTCGTTCAGCATCTGGATGAACTGCTCTTGGTGACTGCTGATTTGCTGAAAGGGAAACAGACAGACAGGGTTGTGTTCATTAGGGCACACCATAGAAAACCAGTTTGCAATGGAAAACAAACAGGCATTTCTTATTGGACCAAGTCCAAGTAGTCCCTTCTCATTTTACTCAGTTTTCTTCAGTTTGGTCCCTAATGAACACAACCATGGAGAGACAGCGATCAGGGGTCTGTTCAGGAAGGTGCAACATTACAGACTCAACGTTCAGATAGAAATACATTGTATAGATCAGATCAAGAGTGTCATATGAGCCAACTGTTAGTCACATTAGTTCTACACATGACATTTCTACCAGCAACATTGAATCTGATGTTTTAGATTTGGTCAACGCACCAGTCCAGACCACAGTGGTTTCAAGAACCTTTGATACCTATAATGTTGTGAACATTTCACCTCGTTGAACACATCCCAGGTAATTACAGCTGACCGGAGGTTTGTTTGAGGCTGAACACATTCTCCTTCCCAAATGGCACCCTATTCCCTTTATAGTGCACTACTTTTGACCAGGACCCACATAGGGCTCTAGTCAAAAGTAATGCACTATAATGGGAATAGGGTACCATTTGGGACACACAGGTTTTTAAACTGACATTATCACAGCGAGGGTCTGGTGCTATGCCTTCAGGCTCTGATCTCATCCCTTCAATATGCATGAGAGGCCTGGGGAGCTAAAGGACACAGACAAATGCATTCGGCAGAAAGACTAGAATTCCATCAATTTCACTGCTCATTGTAACCAGTTTAACTACAAAATCGTGGAATAATTGTCTATCATCAAGAGGCCAGAGATTCGGGAGTATATCGGAGACAGACTGTAAATATCAGTGTTTGTGTGAGTGTGTTGTCCATACTTGCAGGAGTTGGGGGTTCTCCCGCCCTATCTGCTGTAGTAAGGCAGGGAGTAGAGAGGGGTTCTGCTGGATGATCTGTCTCATCTGGAGGAACTGGGGCTGATTAACCAGGAACCCCAGAGGGTTGGCTGGAAACACAGGAGTGGGAGAGAGGGGATAGAAAGTCACGCCATAGAAGGACAACAGCACTGTTCTATTTCCAATCCACACAGTTCTATGTTCCATTTCCATGTTCTATTTCTACAGTTCTATGTTCTAGTTCCATTTGTACAGGTCTATTTGGTATGTTCTAGTTCCATGTTCTATTTCCATGTTCTTTGTTCACAAAGTTCTATGTTCCCTTTCCATGTTCCATTTCCATACAGCAGCACACCAGTGTTCTAAACTCCAGTATGCCAAACCGTTTATGGCATAGAACAATTGATACAGTGCAGCACATAGGACATCTCAAAATACATAACTGTCTAATGCTGAGAACTGTCATTATGTTACAATCTCTTTATTATTCAAAGGAAAATACTAGAAATCCGTCAAATGCTTTTTCTGTGTCCACTGCATACAGAAGTGTTTTTACACATATGCATGCATGGAGTGGAGAAGCAGGCACACACACTGAGGCATCATTCACCTCCTGTTGCAGCGCTTGCTAGGGAGCCTGTGCTGGCGGGGGTGGTCATACTGCCTGTGTTCAGAGCTGGAGTTCCTCCACCCACAGGGGGCACCACTGGGTCAGCACCCGCATGTCCCTCCTCCCCAGCTGGGATCCCCTAAAGAAGAACATCCACAGGACACAGCCTTAGCTACCACAGAGATACAACGTTAGAGCTGCCAGACAGGGTGGACGAATCTAGCTTCCATCATCCCAGCTCTAAGGAACACATGGATGAAAACCGCCATAGAATAGAAACCTGAAGGACAAAAAAAATATGGTATTTTGTATCAATTACATTTTTACATTTTAGTCATTTAGCAGACGCTCTTATCCAGAGCGACTTACAGGAGCAATTAGGGTTAAGTGCCTTGCTCAATGGCACAGACAGATTTTTCATCTAGTCGGCTCGGGGATTAGAACCAGCGACCTTTCGGTTACTGGCACAACGCTATTAACCACTAAGCTACCTGCCGCCCCATGACCACGTTAACATGCACACCAATACACCGTTATTATTCGGGATACTCAAGTATTCTGTTTTTGAGTTGACACATAAGCATCATATCCCGATTACAATAACCCGAAAAAGCTTGTATCCCGGTTATGAGAAACCCTGATAAGACACCTGGGATATGCTGATCTTAGAAGGGGTACTGTGGCATGTAAACATTTATTATTTTTAGTCATTTATCCTGTTTACTGTTGTTTTTTGCGTTCTGCGCAGGCTCAGCTTCGCATATCATGGGTGATGTCTGATGTTTTCATCTATTGTCAAAGCCTACCTGCCCAGTTAGATCCACCATAATTCCATAATAATGTATTTTGCTGATACTCCGTAGAGGACCGTATAGCCTACTGGCTACTTTCACCCCTAATTTAGACAACTTTCTGCTTATAATTTACGACATTTTGTAGGCCGTATTATAAATTCTAACATTTGGTAGGCCATTTGTTTGTCAACTAGCCTATAGTTAGATACATGCAGCTTCTCTTCGGTCATAACTTCTTGCCCCAGAAGACTAAATAAAGTAGTGCTCACCAGAATAATGTCTTACATTGATAGAATGAATGCATTAGTAATATATTTATCACCGCTAAATTTGTCTTTTAGGGACCAGGGAGAAAATTAAATAATTCCAAAACAGTGGAGAGATTGGTTCTGTGCAAAATGTCCAAACGTTATCAGTTTGACTGGTTTTAAGGAAATGAAAAGCTGAGAAAACGATTAAACACGTTTCTGATAAGACTTCAGTTCGTCTTGGGTGCATATTTTATGTGGTTCCTACTGTCTGCTTGCATAACAGTGTCAAGGATAACATTACACTCGCATTCACATTTTCTCAAGACAAGCTGAAATAAATAATTTCTCCACTCCTGTTCCCGAGACAAAATTAACATTTGTTTTATAATTTTACTGCAAGAAATGCATAATTCGGCAGGAGTTAATATTACAGTGCATTCGGAAAGTGTTCAGACCCCTTGACTTTTTCCACATTGTGTTACGTTACAGCCTTACATGCTGCCCACACCGCACGCATGTTGATTTTGTCCACCCACATCATTTACATTTTAGTCATTTAGCAGACGCTCTTATCCAGAGCGACTTACAGTTAGTGAGTGCATACATTTTCATACTGGCCCCCCGTGGGAATCGAACCCACAACCCTGGCGTTGCAAGCGCCATGCTCTACCAACTGAGCTACACGGGCCACCAGACGCGATCAGGACACGCAGGTTGAAATATCAAAACAAACTCTGAATCAACTGTATTAATTTGGGGCCAGGTCGAAAGGCATTAAACATTTATGGCAATTTAGCTAGCTAGCTTGCTGTTGCTAGCTAATTTGTTCTGGGATATAAACATTGGGTTGTTATTTTACCTGAAATGCACAAGGTCCTCTACAATGAATCCACAGATAAAAAGGGTAAACCGAGTTAGTTTCTAGTAATCTCTCCTCCTTCAGGCTTCTTCCTCTTTGGACTTTATATGGTGGTTGGCAATAGGGCTGAACGATTAATTGCATTCGCGATAATATCGCGATTTGACTGAACGCGATTTTCTAATCGCAACGTGCGCGATTTGAGGTGGTCACGTGACGCGACTTTTCATGCTGTCCAGCGCAATGGCCTCTTGCTCGACGGAACAGTCAGAAACTGACACAGCTGATACTTTAATATCGAAGAGGAACAGCACGTCGGTGGTGTGGAACTATTTTGGTTTTAAAAAAGAAGATGCTGAGCAGCGTCAGGTGTTGTGCAGAGCATGCCGTGCTCCGATTGCTACTTCACGGGGTAACACTACAAACCTGTTTCAGCACTTAAAAAAATACCACAAATCAATGCATGACAGTTGTATGACCAAAATGCCGAGCATCAGTGCGCGAGACAAGCCAAATACCTCAAGACAGGGATCACTGACAGAAATGTTCGAAAGTGTCACTCCGTATGAACGTAATTCAAAACGGCACGGAGAAATCACTCGGACAATAACCGAGTTCATAGCCAAAGATATGATGCCTCTCAGCACGGTGACCAAGCCTGGGTTCATGGCATTAATACATACGCTTGATAAACGTTACAGTATACCCTCCCGCACATACTTCAGTCAGACTGCCATACCGGAGCTGTACAAAAAGTGCAAAGAGAAAGTCGCCGCGGAACTTAAAACGGTGGAGTTTTTTGCTAGCACTACTGATATGTGGTCAAGCCGCACAGCTGAGCCGTACCAGAGTCTTACAGTCCATTTTATTGATGAAGATTTCAACCTCCGAGCTCGCTGCCTACAAACTACCTACTTCCCAGACGATCACACAGGGGAAAATATTGCAGCCGGCCTGAGAGAAGGGCTTGTCAGCTGGGATCTCCACGAGGAGAATCACGTCTGCATCACGACGGACAACGCGTCGAATATGGTGCTTGCTGCGCGGCTTAATGAATGGACGAGGCTCCAATGTTTTGGCCACAGATTACATCTTGCCATTGGTAAGTTATCGTGTGTGTGTGTGTGTGTGTGTGTGTGTGTGTGTGTGTGTGTGTGTGTGTGTGTGTGTTTGTGTGTGTGTGTGTGTGTGCGAGTGCGAGAGAGAGAGATGCGTCGATTAGTAAAGCTGAATATACAAATATATATAAATGATATTATATAAATCGGATGGGATTAAATAAATTCATACTTCCACTCCTTTTCTAATATGTAAATTCATTTTACTTGCTTATATCATATGTCTGTCTGTGGTGGAATGCCCACCTGCATTTTTTTTCTTTTCTTGTTTTTGTTTTTTACATGTTTTTTTAGTGTTTATGAGAGAGAGAGAGAGAGAAAGAGAGAGAGAATTGACATGCAAATAAAGACCCTTTGAATTGAGAGAGAGAGAGAGGATGTGTTGTGGATGTGTGTATTTCAGAATTACAGCTAATTTGAGTGTGTAATAGTGAGAGCCTTGTATCAAAACTCAAATTGTGTGTAATACACTACTTTTTATTTCTTTTAGAAAATGCACTCAAAGATGACAGAGTGTCAAGGGCAACAGCACTGTGCAGGAAGCTGGTGGGGCACTTTTCCCACAGTTGGAAGAAGAAAGCAGCCCTGACGGAGGCACAGAGAGAGCTCAAACTCCCTGAGCACAACCTCATAACGGAGTGCCCAACAAGATGGGGTTCTAAAGAAATGATGATTGCCAGAGTGCTTGAACAGGCCAAAGCCATTTCTCAGGTATTGTCTGGAGATCGATATGCACGCTCCCTTATCCCAACCTGGCAGGATATTGACGTGTTGGAGTCGATTCACAAGGCACTGCATCCTCTACTGGAGTTTACTGATGCTCTTTCTGGAGAGGAGTATGTAAGCATCTCCTACCTCAAGCCAGTTCTCCACCTTTTTGCCACATCAGTCCTGGCTGAAGATGCTGAGGACACTGACCTGACTAAATCAATAAAAACCAAAGTCCTAGCATACCTCAATAACAAATATGGAGACCCAAACATCCAGGAGCTTTTGGATGTTGCCTGTTTCCTGGACCCTAGGTTCAAAATACAGTACATCAGTACAGACAACATCCCTGCTATCAAGACTCGTCTGAAGACAGAGATAGTAGACTTGGCACAACGTACATATCATTGGGTAAATAATTATGTATTTCACAAAAACAAAAATTTTCTGTAAAATCTAACTGGAAAACTAATGGCTGTTGTTTTCATCTAATAGGAGAAGAGGTCTCGTACTGAAACTGTTCAGATGCCTCAAAGTGCACAGTCCTTGGGGGAAAAGACGAAGAGGTCTCTTGGCAGTTTTTTCAAGACCAGTTCAGCCTCTCCTTCTTTGCCTGTAAATCTTGAAGATGTCGCAGAGGCAGAGATAAACAATTACCTGATGACTCCTACCATTGATGGAGAAGATGATCCATTGGCTTGGTGGAGGGTGCACAAGATCAGCTACCCACAGTTGTGCACCATGGCACGCAAGTATCTTTGTGTACCTGCTACAAGCGCTCCCTCAGAGCGTCTTTTTAGCACAGGAGGGAATATTGTGACTTGCACTCGCTCAGCCTTGAAGCCAGAAAAAGTCAATATTCTGGTTTTCTTAGCAAAAAACCTGTGAGCCACTGAGAACAGAACTGTTGGATAAGTATGGCTGGCAGTGCCATACTCGTAGTGAACTTTAGTCTGTGTGGTGTGTTATTGTTGTGTACTTGAGATAAGTGAGGCTCATCTATTTTATATTATAATATTCAAATCGTTTATAAAAAATAGTTTGTCTAAATTAAAAGTGCATTTCTCATTTTTTATTTATAACTTTATTTACTTTGATTTTACAAAATATTTTCAAAGCAAATTCCTTGTTTCAGTTGTGTGAAATGTTACTGACTTGGGAGCAGTAAGATACATACAATTTAAAATTATTTTTTTCTTAAGACTGTACCTTTTGCACACAGTGTTTACAAAGTTCATGCCTTTGTTTAAATTATTTAAATGCACAGTGGCAAAGCCACAGATGTTTCTGTAATGAGCAGTTCAATAAAAATGTCATTTATTTCAAGTCATACATGTTTGAATTTAATTCTAACAAATAGACCCAGCCTATGGGAAAGAACATTTCACACTAAATGTATATACTATTGTGTTGGTCATATTTAAATCATTCATTATGTTTTGTAGGGGAAAAAGGATAAATAAATTAAATCGCATATTAAATCGCAATCGCAATATTGGGGGCAAAAAATCGCAATTAGATTATTTTCCAAAATCGTTCAGCCTTAGTTGGCAACCAACTTTAAGGTGCATTACCACGACCAACTGGACTGGAGTGTGGACCTCAGTTCATCGTTCAATCACCCACATGGGTATATGCTCCTAAAAACCAATGAGGAGATGGGAGAGGTGGGACTTGCATCAGAAATAGAAGTTATATTTTAGCGACTGGCTACGCAGACGCTCGTTGACGTGCACGAGCAGCGTGAGTGCAATGATTGAATAACATGTATGTGGACATTTATTTTGCAACGCTCGCGCACGTGACGCGGACGGTGTGGTCAGCATGTTATTCTAAAATTGCTTAAATTGTTATTTTTCCCCTCATCAATCTACACACAATGCCCAATAATGACAAAGAAAAAACAGGTTTTTAGAATTTTTGGGAAATATCACGTTTACATAAGTATTCAGACCCTTTAACTCAGTACTTTGTTGAAACACCTTTGGCAGTGATTACAGCCTTGAGTCTTCTTGGGTATGATGCTACAAGCCTGGAACACCTGTATTTCGGGAGTTTCTTCCCTTCTCTGCAGATCCTCTCAAGCTCTGTCAAGTTGGATGGGGAGCGTCGCTGCACAGCTATTTTCAGGTGTCTCCAGAGATGTTAGCTCGGGTTCAAGTTCGGGCTCTGGCTGGGCCACTCAAGGACATTCAGAGACTTGTCCTGAAGCCACTCCTGAGTTGTCTTGGCTGTGTGTTTAGGGCGTTGTCCTGTTGGAAGGTGAACCTTCACCCCAGTCTGAGGTGCTGAGCGCTCTGGAGCAGGTTTTCATCCGTTCATCTTTTCCTCGATCCTGACTAGTCTCCCAGTCCATGCCGCTGAAAAACATCCCCACAGCATGATGCTGCCACCACCATGCTTCACCGTAGGGATGGTGCCAGGTTTCCTCCAGACGTGACGCTTGGCATTCAGGCCAAAGAGTTCAATGTTGGTTTCATCAGACCAGAGAATCTTGTTTCTCATGGTCTGAGAGTCCTTAAGGTGCCTTTTGGCAAACTCCAAGCGGGATGTCATGTGCCTTTTACTGAGGAGTGGCTTCTGTCTGGCCACTCTACCATAAAGGCCTGATTGGTGGAGTGCTGCAGAGATGGTTGTCCTTCTGGAAGGTTCTCCCATCTCCACAGAGGAACTCTGGAGCTCTGTCAGAGTGACCATCAGGTTCTTTGTCACCTCCCTGACCAAGACTATTCTCCCCGATTGCTCAGTTTGTCCAGGCGGCCAGCTCTAGGAAGAGTCTTAGTGGTTCCAAACTTCTTCCATTTAAGAATGATGGAGGCCACTGTGTTCTTGGGGACCTTCAATGCTGCATTTGGTACCCTTCCCCAGAGCTGTGCCTCAACACAATCCTGTCTCGGAGCTCTACAGACAATTCCTTCGACAATTCCTTTTTGCTCTGATATGCACTGTCAACTGTGGGACCTTATATTGACAGGTGTGTGCCTTTCCAAATCATGTCCAATCAATTGAATTTACCACAGATGGACTCCAATCAAGTTGTAGAAACATCTCAAGGATGATCAATGGAAACGAGTCTCATAGCAAAGGGTCTGAATACTTATGTAAAAACAGTTTTCGCTTTGTCATTATGGGGTATTGTGTGTAGATTGATGAAGATTTTTATTTATTTAATCAATTTTAGAATAAGGCTGTAACGTAACAAAATGTGGAAAAAGGGAAGGGGTCTGAATACTTTCCAAATGCACTGTATATTACGCTACATGAGGTTATAGGCCTACAGTCAGTGTCCATATTTCAGTTACTATTCCATTTAACCCATATTAAATTATGAATATTCTGTTTATTAATGGATACAGGGATACTCGTGAGTGGAATATCAAAAGGTGCATGTAAACAGCTTGTCCCGAATAAGACCTTAAGCAGGATATGAGTTACTATCCGGAATCCTGTGTGCATGTAAACGTGATTACTGTCATATTACATCATTTTTGGACTAAACCATTCATTCTGAATACAAAGGGCTGTCAGACTGGAGAAGTGGATGGGGTGATGAAGAGGTACTTACTGTAAGCAGGTACTCCACAGCTCTGTCTGGGTTGTTGAAGCTGGCTCTGAGTGCTGCCACCACCTGCTCCCTCTCATAGCCCATCAGCATCATCTCGGTCACCATGTTCTCATATGATTGGCCTGTCACTGAGGAGCAGGAAGAACAACCAACCAATCAGACGCCATTTTGATCCGAGAGATTCTGAAAGTTTCAGATGACATTCACTAGGATAAACATAGCCTAATAAAAACAGATTGAGATAGGGCTATTCCTTTCACTTTTGTATCTATATTTCTACAGGGAATACAATATCAAGACATATGGCTATAGACCTAATAACTACAAAAGAGGAGATATTAAAGTACGCTTTCAGAATATAATCTATTCACAAAATTGGGTTAACTCATATCAGGAGTACCATTTACCCAAAGCAGAAGTTGCCTCCTCGAACATGTTCACATTGGTCAAGAGACCAGACGAACTGAAAGAGAAGGAGTATAAAGCTGATGAGAGTACTGTTCTGTTTTACCGTGATCTGTTCAGTACTAAAATACAACCATTAAGAGATACATTAATCCTAATATAACCGACACTAGCAAAATCTAAAATGGCCCCGTTCCCAATAAGAACACAAAATCTCAGTTTCAAACGTTTTGCATGTGGCTACCGTCGAATATGACCCTGGAAACAGCAGCTTCTTATTTATGACACAGGCCAAATGTAACAGTGGCTACATCCCAAACGGTACCCTACTCCCTATGTGGGGGGGGGGGGGGGGGGGGGGGAGTGTACAAAACATTAGGAACACCTTCCTAATATTGACTTGCACCCGTTTGTCCTCAGAACAGCCTCAGTTTGTCTGGGCAAGGTGTCGAAAGCGTTCCACAGGGATGCTGGCCCGTGTTGACTGAAATGCTTCCCACAATTGTGTCAAGTTGGCTGGATGTCCTTTTGGTGGAGGACCATTCTTGATACACACAGGAAATTGTTGAGCATGAAAAACCCAGCAGCGTTACAGTTCTTGACACTCAAAACGGTGCGCCAGGCACTTACTACCATACCCCGTTCAAAGGCACTTAAAGCTTTTGTCTTCCCATTCACCCTCAATGGCACACATACACAATCCATGTCTCAATTGGCTCAATGCTTAAACATCAATTATTAAACATGTCTCTTCCCCTTCATCTACATGGATTCAAGTGGATTTAAGTGACATCAATAAGGGATCATAGCTTTCACCTGGACAGTCTCATGGAAAGAGTTCCTAATGTTTTGTACACTCAGTGTACATGGAATAGATTTGCAATTTGAGACAGCCATTGACTGCTGAACCAGCCCTACCTGGTTGGAGTTGATGCTGGGGCTGAGGTGTTGGAGGGCCTCTCCTCAGCTGGTTTGTCCTCTGGTTTTCCCCCCTCAGGTGGGTTATCTGAGCCTGACAAGGCAGCAGAGGGTACTGTGGGGGCTGTAGTGCTAGAGGTGGTGATCGTGGTTGCACCGGAAGGCTGGGCAGCTGCTGGGGCTGCTTTAGGCTACATAGAGAAATGGGGAATATCCAGTGCTCTTAACAGCATATTTTAATAAAACATTAGGCCTATAGGTGATACAGTAAAAATGATTTGACCAACATGGCTTGTTAGGTAAGAAGCCTGTGATCTGATTTAGGCTACAGACATGGACACATTGGGAATTATTACTGCGAATCGGTATTCATTTTAGGTCACTATCACTTTGAGGTAGCAAAAACATAGCAAGCCATCTTAAAAGCTCAATTCCACCACATTTTCATTATCTACAGCACAATACCATATGTGAAAATGGCGCTTTTCTACATTGTAGAAAAATATATAAAGTTAGAAAGTTCTACCCGATGACATAAAAACATTTTCAAAAGTGATTTTCAAAACAGATTCGCGCGGTGACATGGGGAGCAAGAAAATAGAAAATACCCTCCGGTTAGAAACGTGTTGCAGGTTTTGAAAATCACAGTTTAAAACTTTAATCCTATCCTGTGATGTCACAGAGAAGCATTTTTTAGGACCTTTTGTTTAAATCTTTTTAACCACAGATCATAGAAATGCTCTGTTTTTACATTTGTATGCACTGGTTTGGTGCGGAGATTTTCTGCTCATTTTGCTAAAAGTAAAAATTTTCCATCTGAAGATTTAAAGGACAGATTGCACAATGTATTTCCACAAATCTAACATCGTAGATTGATGATATTCCTTTTTTAATTTATGCAAATGTTTATTTATTTTTAAAAGTTGTAATTCAAATTGCGAAAATACATGTATCAAAAAGTCATCTCCAACAATACATTGCAGCTTTGACATTCAGAGAGGCACGGCCTGGTGCTGGTGGTGGCAATGCACTGTTTACCGGCATGCATGTTTGGTCAAGCCGGGAAGAAAGTCATACTGGGTCAGGTGAACACCGGGCGCTTCAGTCATATGCGGGCCTCACTTTGTCCCGAACGATTACAATGGGTACCAACAGAGGAAGAGTGTATTCACCATGAAGCTGAAATCGGTTCTGTGCCAACATTCGATGTAGGCTCCAAGTCCACTGACACCACCAGTGTTACAGCGCCACGGTGGGCGGCTTCGGTGATGGATGTGAATCGGGTAAGTAGGTACTAAAGGGCCCAAAGCATTAGAAACCAGCTACCTAAGTGCACCGGGCTATACAAAAAGAACTGGCCCACTCACACGGATCCAGCATGGTGTTTGGGGATGGAATACGCTAGCTCCAACAACTCAAATCAATAAAATACTGCACGTTTTGCAGAAATTAATGGTCAAATACCATATCGGATGTCATTGTTTATTTCAAGGTCTTTATTTTTGCTGAACTACCTGATCTTTATTGGCCGATATAACTTGCAGGATATCAAGGTAGCCAATGTTCCCTCAAAATTCTTTCCTCGCTGAGCAGATTTCAGGTCTGCTGAGCGCAAACTTGAACGTTGTGAAAATTCTGTGCAACTTCCGGCGCACGTTTACTGTGAACACTGAGGCTGTCCCCGCTTTAAGTTAGTAGCCTACTTGACCACTGTTAAAACTGTGGCTATTTGATCATAATGTAGGCCTACCAGTGTGGCCTACCATAAAAAACAATGTATTAAATGCGTCACATAACATTCTAACATGGAAATAGCTGTTCTATCGTTCAGCCTACAGTAGCAGCCAATGTGTAGTGTTCAATGTAGGCCTACATTCCATGAGACTTTTGAAAAAAACATGCAGGGCTTGACATTAACCTGTTTATCGACTTGTCCTTTAGACAAGGTGACTGAAGATGTTGTGTTTGACACAAGAAACCACTTTACAAAAAAAAATGCATCATTATTCCCATAACATTATTACAGAGAATCAGACAGATTATACTACCCTCTCTGCCTATTGGCTCCTTATCTTATTCAAGCCTGTCTCAAAATACAACACTGCCCCTTTAAGACAAAACAAAGCTCTTTACCTCACTCACTTTTCAAAGATGTCTAGAAATGCACAAGTTTTGTGCTCTTGTAGGAAGCAATCGCTCCCCCATTGCTGACTACAAATTATATATAACTTGGCTAATAACTCAAACTAGCAAAGGATATGAACAAATGTAAAATGTGCAGACATCGCTACATGTCACTTTGATCTCAAAACAAGCGCATCTACTCACGACCGCTCATGCTGTAAAAACAGTCCAGTTCAAAGTGAATGGCACAGATCCACATATGGCAATGGTGTATTTGCATATAGGCCTACTGCAGCTCTGATTGGTTATGGTGCACCAGTGTGTATAGAGTACAGGCCTGAGTCGTGCCTGTCAATGCAATCCTACTCCGATGCGTTCTGCCTACAACTAAATCTCTTGCATAGTTAGTATGCAAAACTAAGTCTTGCATAGTTCGTTTTGTTTCAGTACATTGCATTGAAAGTGGTTAATATTGCATTGATTCGATCACAATTCCCACAGTAAAGGGAAACGTTGATAGTGTTAACTAACAGGGAAAACACTAGAAAAGTTGAGTGAAGTTCAATCTTGTGCTTCTCTGCGCAGGCTGATATTTTTCTGCGTGGCAGTCCCGGGGAATGGAACATTGATGGTAGCCCATGTTTGTGTTAGCCATTATCTGAATTTCCTGCTACTATTAGTAGCACTCAGGTTAGCATGTGGCTAGCTAGAACTACCATCGGCCAACAGAGTTTTTGCCAGTTTGGTTACAGACGTTCAATGTCTACGATGGTAAAGGTTTAACTTGATTTTGTGTAACAGTGCGAGAAATGCTGATGTGCTGAACTGCTAATAAGTGATGTGCTCCAAGGCTGCTAATGGTTAGATGGTAGGAGTCAGTATGTGAGCGGAGTGAGGAGCAGAACATGCCCAATTTGACTGGAGCGCCGAGCGAGACTCCCAAAAGGCTGGAGCGTCGGCCTTCTTGCCCGCTCCAATAGCTCTCACTTCATGAGCTCAGGGCATGCCAAGCCCAGCATGCATTTGTAGTCTATTTTCATAAAGAAGCTGATAAAAACACACAGGTGCAAAATCAAGGTGACTTACAAAGATGAGGACCAAGAGCGGGAGTGCGGTGACGTAATGTCCACAACTAAAGAATCATTGTGGAATCTGAAAAGACTGGTATCCTGATATGCAAAACGACACCAGATTCAAAACTTAGAATTTTTCCATTTAAATTATTATATAAAATTCTTGCTACCAATAGAATGTTATTTATATGGGGGATGCAATCTTCCCAGCTCTGCAGATTTTGCTGCGAAGAGACAGAATCATTAGATCATTTTTTTGGTACTGTCCATTTGTAGCTTGTTTTTGGACACAGGTCCAGGAATGGCTAAAGGATTGCAATATTTACCTGGAGCTAACCCTGCAGATAGCACTACTGGGTGATCTGAAAAGTCATAGTCAATCGATCAATAATATAATAATACTTTTAGCAAAAATGTTTATTTTCAATTTACGATCTGTGACTCCAACCAAATGCTTCCTGTAGTTGTTGGTCTCTCACGTCGCTGTGGAGGAATTTTGGCCCACTCTTCCATGCAGAACTGCTTTAACTCAGTGACGTGTGGGTTTTCAAGCATGAACTGCTCGTTTCAAGTCCTGCCACAACATCTCAATTGGGATTATGTCTGGACTTTGACTAGGCCATTCCAAAACTTCCAATTTGATGCTTTTTTAGCAATTTTCATGTAGACTTGATTGTGTGTTTTGGATCATTGTCTTGCTGCATGACCCAGCTGCGCTTCAGCTTCAGCTCACAGACGGATGGTCTGACATTCTCCTGTACAATTCTCTGATACAGAGCAGAATTCATGGTTCCTTCTATTAAGGCAAGTCGTCCAGGTCCTGAGGCAGCAAAGCATCCCCAAACCATCACACCACCACCACCACCATACTTGACCTTTGGTATGATGTTCTTACTGTGGAATGCAGAGTTTGGTTTTCGCCAGGAATTACTGGAACCATGTCGTCCAAAAAGTTATACTTTTGAATAATCTGTCCATAGAACGTTCTTCCAAGAGTCTTGATGATCATCCATGTGCTGAACTGAAGCTGAAGCGCAGCAGGGTCATGCAGCAAGACAATGATCCAAAACACACAATCAAGTCTACATGAAAATTGCTAAAAAGCATCAAATTGGAAGTTTTGGAATGGCCTGGTCAAAGTCCAGACATAATCCCAATTGAGATGTTGTGGCAGGACTTGAAACGAGCAGTTCATGCTTGAAAACCCACACGTCACTGAGTTAAAGCAGTTCTGCATGGAAGAGTGGGCCAAAATTCCTCCACAGCGACGTGAGAGACTGAACAACAACTACAGGAAGCATTTGGTTGGAGTCATTGCAGCTAAAGGTGGCACAACCAGTTGAGTGTAAGGGGGCAATTACTTTTTCACAAAGGGGAATTGGGTGTTGCATAACTTTGTTTATGAAACAAATATGTAATTGTTGTGTTATTTGTTCACTTATGTTCCCTTTATCTAATATTAGGTTTTGGTTGAAGATCTGATAACATTCAGTATCACAAATATGCAAAAGTAGAGAAAATTAGAAAGGGGGCTAATACTTTTTCATAGCACAGTATATATATATATATATATATATATATATATATATATATATATATATATATATATATATATATATACACACACACACACACACACACACAGTGGGGAGAACAAGTATTTGATACACTACCGATTTTGCAGGTTTTCCTACTTACAAAGCATGTAGAGGTCTGTAATGTTTTATCATAGGTACACTTCAACTGTGAGAGACTGAATCTAAAACAAAAATCCAGAACATCACATGGTATGATTTTTAAGTAATTAATTTGCATTTTATTGCATGACATAAGTATTTGATCACCAACCAGTAAAAATTCCGGCTCTCACAGACCTGTTAGTTTTTCTTTAAGAAGCCCTCCTGTTCTCCACTCATTACCTGTATTAACTGCACCTGTTTGAACTCGTTACCTGTATAAAAGACACCTGTCCACACACTCAATCAAACAGACTCCAACCTCTCCACAATGGCCAAGACCAGAGAGCTGTGTAAGGACATCAGGGATAAAATTGTAGACCTGCACAAGGCTGGGATGGGATACAGGACAATAGGCAAGCAGCTTGGTGAGAAGGCAACAACTGTTGGCGCAATTATTAGAAAATGGAAGAAGTTCAAGATGACGGTCAATCACCCTCGGTCTGGGGCTCCATGCAAGATCTCACCTCGTGGGGCATCAATGATCATGAGGAAGGTGAGGGATCAGCCCAGAACTACACGGCAGGACCTGGTCAATGAACAGAAGAGAGCTGGGACCACAGTCTCAAAGAAAACCATTAGTAACACACCGCTGTCATGGATTAAAATCTTGCAGCGCACGCAAGGTCCCCCTGCTCAAGCCAGCGCATGTCCAGGCCCGTCTGAAGTTTGCCAATGACCATCTGGATGATCCAGAGGAGGAATGGGAGAAGGTCATGTGGTCTGATGAGACAAAAATAGAGCTTTTTGGTCTAATCTCCACTCGCCGTGTTTGGAGGAAGAAGAAGGATGAGTACAACCCCAAGAACACCATCCCAACAGTGAAGCATGGAGGTGGAAACATCATTCCTTGGGGATGCTTTTCTTCAAAGGGGACAGGACGACTGCACCGTATAGCGGGGAGGATGGATGGGCCCATGTATCGCGAGATCTTGGCCAACAACCTCCTTCCCTCAGTAAGAGCATTGAAGATGGGTCGTGGCTGGGTCTTCCAGCATGACAACGACCCGAAAGACACAGCCAGGGCAAATAAGGAGTGGCTCCGTAAGAAGCATCTCAAGGTCCTGGAGTGGCCTAGCCAGTCTCCAGACCTGAACCCAATAGAAAATCTCTGGAGGGAGCTGAAAGTTCGTATTGCCCAGCGACAGCCCCGAAACCTGAAGGATCTGGAGAAGGTCTGTATGGAGGAGTAGGCCAAAATCCCTGCTGCAGTGTGTGCAAACCTGGTCAAGACCTACAGGAAACGTATGATCTCTGTAATTGCAAACAAAGGTTTCTGTACCAAATATTAAGTTCTGCTTTTCTGATGTATCAAATACTTATGTCATGCAATAAAATGCTAATGAATCACTTAAAAATCATACAATGTGATTTTCTGGATTTTTGTTTTAGATTCCGTCTCTCACAGTTGAAGTGTACCTATGATAAAAATTACAGACCTCTACATGCTTTGTAAGTAGGAAAACCTGCAAAATCGGCAGTGTATCAAATACTTGTTCTCCCCACTGTTTATATGCGTGTATGTATATATGTATGGGGGATTGTAAGTGATACAGACAATTACATTGATGGAAGTTACAATCTGAAATATTAAAGCTGATCTACCCCCTAAAAAAAAAGACTGGTATCCCGAAAGCATGGTCTACTTACTACATGCACATGCTAAAAGAAAGGAACGAGGTGGGTAGCTAATTAAGTGTGTCATTGAAGCAATGTATTTATAAACTAAAAATCTGAGCTCTTAAAAGTTTCCTTCATTTTTGTTATATTATCTATACAATAGGCCATAATTGATTTTGGCCGTATAGGCCTGGCTTATTCCAACTTTCAAGAAGCTTTGCGTTTTGGATTGGGTTATTTTGCCTAAAAACCTTTAAGCCTATCAATAGATTTTTTCCCCCATAATAATAAAATGCATCCCTGCCCAGCCTGACAAGAGTGGCCAAAAGGGTGTTTAGCGTTCCCAGTGGCTCTGCAAGCGCGGAGAGGATATTCTCCGCTGCTGGCCTGCTCTCCAGGCACCATCGCATGAGCCTGAAGCCAGACTCTGGCTAAACTCATGTTTCTAAAAATGAATTCAAAAAGGCACTGTAGACTGAGCCTAATAAGGCATTTTTCGTGTAATTTGTATTTAATTCTAAGTCACAGCCTATTTGCACAATTTATAGACTAATGATTGAATACAACAAAACGTTGTTTAAATGCTGAGCGCTTAATGTCCCTGACTCCCTACCAGCCTAGTGTGTCGCACTCACAAATGCTTCAATGTATTTCTTTGTAGGCTATAGCCTTGAAATTGTCTAAATAATTCAATTTTGTTCCTTCTTAGGCTCCCTGTCTGGCTCCTGACCTATTTAGAGTGTTTATATGCTGTTTAATATGACATGTAGACTATTTGAGATAATGAGCGATTCTTACATTCACCTTATGTTTATTAAAGTACTTTTCATTCAAAACTCAAAGTAAATACTGGGTAGTTTATTTTCCATAACAGTTTAGATATACACTGAACAAAAATAAAAAAACGCAACATGTTAAGTGTTGGTCCCATGTCTCATGAGCTGAAATAAAAGATCCCAGGAATGTTCCATACACACAAAAAGCTTCTCAAATGTTGTGCCCAAATTTGTTTATATCCCTGTTAAGTGAGCATTTCTCCTTTGCCAAGATAATCCATCCACCTGACAGGCGTGGCATATCAAGAAGCTGATTAAACAGCATGATCATTTCACAGGGGCACCTTGTGATGGGGACAATAAAGGGCCACTCAAAAATTTGCAGTTTTGTCATACAAACACAATGCCACAGATTGGCATGCTGACTGCAGGAATGTCCATCAGAGCCGTTGCCAGAGCATTGAATATTCATTTCTCTACCATAAGCCGCCTCCAATGTCGTTTTACAGAATTTGGCAGTACGTCCAACCAGCCTCACAACGGCAGACCACGCGTAACCACGCCATCCCAGGATCTCCGCACTCGGCTTCTTCATCTGAGACGGGCCACCTGGACAGCTGATTAAACTGTGGGTTTGCACAACTGAATAATTTCTGCACAAACTGTCAGAAACCATCTTAGGGAAGCTCATATACGTGCTCGTCGTCCTCACCAGGGTATTGACCTGACTGCAGTTCAGCATCGTAACCGACTTCAGTGGGCAAATGTTCACCATCGATGGCCACTGGCACGCTGGAGAAGTGTGCTCTTCACAGATGAATACTGGTTTCAACTGTACCGGGCAGATGTGTGGGCAAGCGGTTTTCTGATGTCAACGTTGTGAACAGAGTGCCCCATGATGGCGGTGGGGTTATGGTATTGGCAGGCATAAGCTACGGACAATAAACACAATTGCATTTTATCGATGGCAATTTGAATGCACAGAGATACCGTGATGAGAGCCTGAGGCCCATTGTCGTGCCATTCATCCATCGCCATCACCTCATGTTTCAGCATGATAATACACAGCCCCATGTCGCAAGGATCTGTACACAATTCCTGGAAGCTGAAAATGTCCCAATTCCATGGCCTGCATACTCACCAGACATGTCACCCATTGAGCATGTTTGGGATGCTCTGGATCGACGTGTACGACTGGATGTTCCAGTTCCCGCCAATATCCAGCAACTTCGCACAGCCATTGAAGCGGAGTGGGACAACATTCCACAGGCCACAATCAACAGCCTGATCAACTCTATGCGAAGCAGAAGTGTTGCGCTGCATGAGGCAAATGGTGGTCACACCAGATACTGACTGGTTTTCTGATCCACGCCCCTACCTTTTTTTAAAGTATATGCCACCAACAGATGCATATCTGTATTCCCAGACATGTGGAATCCATAGATTAGGGCATAATGCATTTATTTCAATTGACTGATTTCCTTATATGAACTGTAACTCAGTAGAATCTTTTAAATTGTTGCATGTTGCATTTGTATTCAGTGTAGATACCTAGCATTAGAAGATGTCCACTTTATTATTAGGTCAATTCTTGGCCAGCTAGGGGAAATACAATAATGGAACAGACTGTTGTCCTTGCTAAAGTTTTTGCTTACTGATCTGAACTCAACAATGATGGCGCTGGAAAGACAACTTTGGTAGGCGTTGACGTTGATTGATCCCTTTCATAACTGAAAATGCAACAATATTTTTGTTCAAAGATTTTTTCTAACTAGAGCTTTGTTGTCAAATAATGATAATGGCTATTCCGTACCAGTACGGTAGTGTGAAGAAGCTAGCTAATCAGATTAGTTTCTTTCAGACCACAGACATTAGAAATAACACAAGGGTAATGGTGCATATAGTCATAGCTTATTACAACTAAATAGTAAAGCAACATTTTATACAAATGAAACAAACCAATGGCGCAATCAACTATCTAATAAGGTAGTTCGTTACACTAGCTAGCTGCCAATGTGGCTTGAAAACAAGTAATCCATAGTAGCTATAACACTCGCATACATATTTACTTCTGCCATATATCAGCACTAGCGAAGTGTGGACATAGACGTCCCATTTCTCTTCAGATTCAGAGATTCTCAAAGCATACTCATCGCGTCCTCGTCTCCTTCTCAAAACTCACTGGTGGAGAAGATCAGAGGGAAGCGACCTCTGGCTTTTTCATCCAATGGGTTTTGAGAAGGAGACGAGGAGAGGACGCTAGGAGTGTGCAATTTAGATCTTCCACCTGTCTCAGTCAATGAACTCGTGACGGAAAATCCGACCCAACAGGGAAATCGAATACAAGCGGTTTTCAGGTAGGCTGGAGGCACAATATTGTTACTGTTGAATCTCATTGGATGACCACTACCGACTTGGAGCTTTTGAACATAGAAAATATAGAAAGATTTACATAATGCAGCTTTAAAAAGATGAAAGACTCCACCATCCCATATGCCAATAAACAGGAATCTTTGCTATTCAATCTTTCAAGGCCACAATCTCTTGTTAATTATCACTATAGACGTAGTCCCCTGTACCTCAGTTGGTAGAGCATGGCGCTTGCAACGCCAGGTTTGTGGGTTCGTTTCCCACGGGGGGCCAGTATGAAAATGTATGCATTCACTAACTGTAAGTCGCTCTGGATAAGAGCGTCTGCTAAATTACTAAAATGTAAAATGTAGACATTCAAACTGTGCAGAAGGCACATATTGTAGCTCAGCAGTTGGATATTCCATCATTGCATGAACTGTTGCTGCACCTGTGTGCATAGGGAGAGGAGATGTAACAACAGATTGCAATCTACTCCGCACAGTGGGATTCAATCTGCATTCTGTCTTCTTAGCGATATTGAGGTGCATGTGACAGGTCTGGGAAAATATTGCTTCACGGTGAACACACACACAAGCTACACACACGTCCAATGACACAGAAAGTTAATTAAGTCCATCTGCCATTATCAGTATGTGTGTGTGTGTAAATCATGTTTATGATGGATTTGAAAACAGTGAAGCCTATGTTATCTATTCAGAGGTCTCCACCCCAATGAAGAGCATGTCATTTCATGGACAAATCTCAACGTTTCTAATCCCTTACCTTTGCCACCATGACGACCACAAAGTTCTTCTCATCAATCTTATACTCCTTGAGGGCCGTGTCATCATTAAGGATTTTCCCTTCAAGCAACAAACATTAAGATATTAATTTATTAACCAACAATTCCACAATAACCCTGACATTCTTTGCCAATGAAATTGGCAGAAACCTATCCCCGTCACCTATAAGGTTAATTCATAGTGGTGAGAAACATTAACATGCCACATACACAGATTGAACATTGCTGCATTCTGCATTCCCATAACATAATTACATGAAAACATTGAGATGACACATTGAGATGTGACCCACAGGTCAAGCCAACACAGACATGCAATTATGTTGTGACAGCGCAACGTTTTATTATGCATTTTCATCCAAGTCCTTATCAAGGTCCTCTGTAGCTCAGCTGGTAGAGCACGGCGCTTGTAATAATAATAATAATATAATATGCCATTTAGCAGACGCTTTTATCCAAAGCGACTTACAGTCATGCGTGCATACATTTTTGTGTATGGGTGGTCCTGGGGATCGAACCCACTACCTTGGCATTACAAGCGCCGTGCTCTACCAGTTGAGCTACAGAGGACCACAACCAAGGTAGTGGGTTCGATCCCCGGGACCACCCATACACAAAAAATGTATGCACGCATGACTGTAAGTCGCTTTGGATAAAAGCGTCTGCTAAATGGCATATTTTTTATTATTGTTATATCAAACTGCCAGACAAAACGGAGCAGGGGAATAAAAGACTGAAACTGTACCTGCATATATCAACTTCTGTCCAGCAACCGGAAAACCATATTTTCCCTTCTCATTCTCTATTTTCTCCTTCAAGGTTTTTACCTGTAAAGAAAGAGAAGTAGACAGACATAAATCATAAAAAGAACGAAGTCCATTGCGAGAAGCATATGATATTTCTCAAGTTTACTGGTTAAATGGCTGATGATTAGGCTAAAAGAGATAGCTAAGAAACCAATTAAACATTGAAAGTCTGGTGCCCGAGTTCTCTGGGAGAGGTCTTATAATACTAATAATTGGCAACTAACTACACACTGTCTAAAATAACGACAGTTGTATGATTGTCAACTTCTCAGAATTGTGGGGCACGCCAATAGGCCACTGTCAATGACTCGGGCTGAGGGGAGGTCTCTGCACTAGATAACGTTCGCTAACATTAGCCTCGCTAATAACAACCAAATGCAAAACCAACAATATCTAGCTAGCTACGGTGGTGTCAAACGTAGCTAGATCGCTATAGTAACGTTATATGGATGAATTATCTGGTTTATCAACATTTAGCTAGGTTAGTTTATAAACTATCCAACTGCTTCATAAAACGTTTGAGACAGCAGCTGTTTAGCTAGCATTAGAATACATAGCTAGCTAACAAACTCAAAAGTTGCCGTTTTTAATAAATATATATATTGTGGCTATCCATGTCAAAAGTTATTTAATTAGCCATAGATAGTTAGCTAACAGTTAGTTGGGGTTGAGAAACTTGAGCCAATTAGATAGCTAACTACCACCACTGTTAACCAGCTAATGCTAGCATTAGTCAGCTAACGCGTACGCTCCCATTTCCTCAAGTTTTTGGCAACATAAAATCCCAATGGGTATATAATATACAGTATATGCAGTAACGTACAATCTACTTTATTAAGTAACTTTACTAATAAACTAGTTAGCTAGTTACTGGACTGGGGACTTAAACATGTTGAAGTTGCTTAGCTAACGTTAGCCTGCCATGTCAAACTAGCTAAGAATGCAAGTTAGCTTAGCTTGTTAGCCAACGCAACGGTAAGTTAGACGAAACCCTCCCTCCCTTCAACAAATGCATGGTTTCAACTCACCGTCTCCTCTGCGTCTATGTCGATTTTAAATGTCTGCTGTTGGAGAGTTTTCAACGTTATCTGCATTTTGGCGACGAGCAAAAATGCTTAGGTTTCTTAACTTGTTTCACCCCGTAGTACTCTTTCCGAAGGTGTAGTAGTTGGATAAGATGCTATTTTCGCTAGCTCGTCACAGGCTAATTCTTCTTCTATGGTATTATGGCGGTCAGAAAACACATGTTAGAGGTGCATGCCTCTACCTACTGTGTGAGGTAAAAACTGGGGAACTTTAACGCAGAAAAAACACTGGGAAAGGGTGAAAAAACGTAGTCATATTATAAACAGAAAATGAACAAAAAAACAAACACACATCTATGTACTGCTTTATTTAGATTAAAATGTATACTCAGATACCTACAGGCTCTGTGGCCTGAGAGGGAAGAGCATCTTCAGACAGTATTCCCTGCAAAGTTTCGGTTGTGAAGCCCTGGAGATCCAAAAACAATTTAGCCACATTCACAATTCTATCCAGTTTCTTTGATTTCTTGTTTGTTTGGCCTGTACAGTTTATCACCTGCACAATAAACACAACAAAATCTACCTTCTTCACTATCAGTATTTCTTGATTAACTGGATAACAAGATTTTCTGCAGGGTATCCATTGCCATTTCTTCCTAATTTCCCCTCACTCCTTCAACCATTTGCACTGCCTCCACATAGCAGACCTGCTGGACAGCCCTGATTCTTGCTATTTCGACACCCTTCACCCTTACAGGGCCCTCCTAAACTCAGGAACGTGGTTCCCACCACAATTGTAGCATTGTGTATCCACTGACTCTTCAACAACATATTTATTCCATCTGCACACACTTGCCACGTGGCCAAACTTTTTGCAATTACGACATTGCAACAGCCTTTTCATAAAAGCTTTCACTGCGTATCTCATATACCCCAGCTTTTCATGTTTCGGGAGAAACTCTTCATCAAATTTTAATAACACAAATAGGCTTTCAAGTGACGTGCCTTCACTACTCCTGGACCTTGTATGTGGTGATTAAGACATTGAGCCTCAATTTCCACCGAGACGTCAGAGATGACGCTATATAAATATTTTATGTATCATTAAGGCAAAATGTTGGGAAATGTCAAAGGTAAAATATAGTAAACATGATTGACATTTTATAATCCAGATGCATGCCTAAATAAGGAATATAATCAATGCAGTGTGTAACCGTGCTTTAATGAATGTATGTATATTATTTTTTAAGAAAGTGTCTGAGCCACGCCACCAATATAATGAGATAAGGGAAAGAGGCCTCATATGGAAAAGCGCCCATGGCCTTTTGGAGTAAACCACATGTGACATCTGGATGTTGAAAGATAAGGGTAGAGTGGCACTAAAATAAGTTAATCATTTGCCCTAAGGGGAGCAACTGTATATGCTATGTAAGCATGATTGTGCACTTGTATTTGTATAAAAGGAGATCTTTGAGCCAAGGAGAGCCAGGTGTTCCATGGAGCAGCTCGGCTTTGTTACGCAATAATAAAGTCTAATTTTTGGATTCACAAGCTCCAGTTTCTTGAGAGATATTTTGGAGTTGACTACTTTCGAGTCAAATATTTCTACGACATAAATGGCGAGCTAGCCAGGAGTTGGAAACAGGGACCAGAGACGGTGGACATCTGCGCCTGTGAAACGGCTTGGACGGACCAAACAAATGCAACAGGGTTATATTGGTGATTCCCCTTGCCACTTTATTGTTAAGCCAATGGGTTTTTGGTTTTGTCTTGCCTTAACCTACTCAACATGGCATCTTATTGGCTGGTTGGCGTAGCTTGCTTACGTGGGAGGATGTTTCAGTTAGAATCGTCCCAGTGAACAAGCACCAAACCAGCGGTAAGTTGTTGGTTGCAAAGCACTGTACGTCAAAAGTGATTTTTATACTCCCAAGTGATGATGTAAATGTATAATTTATATCAATTTGTTTGTAAATGTTATTCGAACATCACACATAAGATGCAGTGTTTTTTGGTGAATATTTGTTGTGCATTTTGTTGTAGAGAATTCCAGCTAATACTGGCTAGCAACTTACTGTGTCTGGTGGGTGTTTGTATATTTTGTACAGTGCGTGAGTGCAGAGTTGGATGGTGAGCCCTGCATTGCATGACGTGCAATTTTGTGCTGTTCCTATCAGAATAAAGCTCCATGACTGGTGTTACAAGATGGAGTTCGTGTTGATGATTGATTGTACACAACGCAAGAAGAGTACTGTTACAGTGGTGCCGTGACCGTTCTTCTGGATCGGATCATCCTTCGCTGGATTTCCATCTCAGAACTTCGCCGTGGTTGCTGTTGAAGAATCAGATAAGACGTTGCTGGTGCAGTTTATGGCAATATCGCATTTCGCCACAAGAGGCGCTTACATTTTTATTAGTGTGTTGATTTCCAATTGTTAAGATGGAAGGTGTTGGGAGAGGTAGGGGTTTCCTGACATTTAATCTGTCACCATCTGTTGGTAGGGGTTCAGCCAAAATTCCAGTTGCTTCTACACCTATGCCTAAACTGGAGGGTTTTGGGAGTTTTGATGATAGTTTACCCATGGAAATGTGACAGGTTAAAGGACATATTCATAGCCTGTTATACACTAAAAAGTATTAGTAAGTTCATGGTATGTAAGGATCTTAAAATATCTAAGGTTAAAAAGATCATGCATCCAGTACTAGTTCATAGAGATTGATAAAATTCATAATTGTGTTAAAATCCGTCAAGTGTAAAAGGGTAAATATTGTAAGGGGAATGTGTAAACGTTATATTGACTACTTTATTTTGTGGTGCCTAATTTAAGGGTAAAAGTGTTAATCTGTGATCTACTAAATGCTCTTAATCTATGAGCCTGAGATCGATTGCTCTGGTCTCCACCCAACTTTCTGGGGAAATCGCGGTCTTTTTTCTCATTATACTAAAGTTTTCAGTGAGGAAACATAACTGCGTCACTCTCGTGATTATTTTTCCCCTTTTTCAGGGGCGTAACAGAAACGCCCAAGGATGTGTATGAAAGAGTTTTGCCAAATGCAGGGAGTGGGGAGGTCTCCATGGATTTCATAGCAGACATAGTACAGCAGATTGGTCATTCCATTGGGGAGAACATTACCTCCTGTTTGGAGTCAAAGGCAATTGTTGGACATGTTGGTGACAATGTTATGGTAAATGCATGCAGATCTAGGGGTATGGATGTCAGGCCTGAACCTGGTATTGAAGTCTGATATCAGGGAACCGGTGTACTTTCGGGGGGATGGCTCTGAAAAGTGCACAGTGCATGAGTGGGAGGATATGGTTTACATGCATAAGAGGGGCGTATCTGTGATGGACCAAGCAGATGAGGTTATGGGTAGGCTTATGGGAAGGGCCCGTGATGTTGTTAAAGTGGGCATACGCAGCAATCCCTCCGTTGATTTATCCAAAGGCCCGAGTCCCATCTTTGACATACTGAAACAACATTTTAGTGACACTGCTTTTTCAAGCATGCCCCTCGCTGACTTTTATGCCACATTACCTCTGACTGATGAACAACCATTCGACTATTGGCTCAGACTGAACAGGGCTATGGAGGTTGCTGAAGATTGTCTAAAGAGACAGAAAAAAAGTGGTGAAGACCCATCTCGTGAGCTCACAGTCATGTTCATCAGACATTGCCCTAACGCCGAACTGTCGCTTATCTTTAAGTGCAAACCATTACAGCAGTGGACCGCTGCAGATGTTCATGAGAGGTTGGATGAATACAGGAGGGAGCAGAGGTACTCTCACTTATCTAAGGTGACCCCAGCCATCGCAACAATGAAGCAGGATGTTGGTGCTGTCATGCCAATCACCATGCCTGCTCTGAAGCCCCACATGGAAGTACCTAATGCGTTGCCTTCTCCAGCCCAGACTATTCAGGGCTCAGCTGAGCCGATGGAACGTATCCTTGCAATGCTGGAGCGTGTGCTGGAGCAGAGGCCTCAACAGTCTGACCGTAAGTTCCAAAAAGAGAATAGGAGCAAA